AGGCAAAGCTCTCTGTCTTCCCGCGCATTTTCTTCTACCCTCACCTATGGTCATTGAAGATGGGTCATGACCGAAGACGAGATCCGTACAAGCGGCCGAGATGGGTTTCTCCGCAGGGTGGCTGGTGTCTCCTTAGGATAAAGGTGAAAGTTCGGTCATCAGGGAGGACTCGGAGTTGAGGCCGCTCCTCCTTCGCGTCGAAGGCGCCAGTTGAGGTTGTTCGCAGCCTAGTTGATGCCACACTGGGCGCCTCCTAGGCGACGGTGTTCCTAGGCACGTCCACTGGGAACGAGACCAAGGGGTCGACCTAGAACCGACTGGCGGTTTTATCTCTTCGCTGGCCTGGGCGCCTTGGGATCCCCAGTCAGAGCTGGTTGATGTGGCCGGGAAAGAAAGTTTGGGGCTCTCTGCTGGAACTGCTACCTCCGCGACCCGCCCACGGATAGCGGGGAAGTATGGACTGGATGGGATGGGATGTTGGTACTGTGCGAGGCTGTTTTTTTGTATAGCAGATATTGTGGTCAAATTCCTTTTACCATGCATTTAAAACAAAATACACACTAAAGTCTATTCATTTATGCTGTCCATGAGCAGACCCAGTTTAAACGTGAATAATCCTACTGATTGAGAGCCATATTCCAGTAGAGTAAACAGTATTGGCTGAATGTCGCAAATGTATCCAATGATGCGGTCCTCTTTGTACACGTGAAAACTGAATAATCACATCCTGTCTCTCCAATGCATTGGACATAGGCGCACACTGGCTGAATACTTTGCTTACAGTTAATGTAAAAAACAAACAATATGCATGATGTTCGTAACACGACCAGTCCAAAATTCAAGGATCCAATGTGTTTTTAAACGGAGCAGAAATAGACTAGTCTCCGATTCAGAGTTCTTGGAGTCCATATTGGACTCGACTTGAGTATCCAATTACTATTAAATTCAACTTGCAAAATGTTAAACAAATTAGACCTTTCTTAACTGTCAATGCTGCAAAGTCATACCTCCACTGTATGATTCTATCCCACATTGAATACTGTTTTACAAACTGGTCGTTTGCTTGTGCCACAAACCTGAAACCCATAGAACAGCAGTACAAGAGAGCTATCAAGGTTTTTGACAGAAAGCCAAATTCATACCACCATACCACCATCCTTGAAAAACACAATTTCTTGAGTTTCGACAATTTTAAGTCTTCTAAAAGCAAGTGTTTTTTTTTATAAATGTCTACATGGACTGGCCCCCCCCTTCCCTTTTAGGGGAATTCATCCACACACAAAAACACTGGACGCTGCACTAGATCAGAAACCAGAGGAGACTGTGAAGTCCACCATGGACTGACCACTTTTGGACAAAATGTGCAGCTCTTTCTGGAATAGCCTACCAACTGAGATATGGGATTGTCCCACTCTCAATAGTTTTAAAGGTGAACTCACTGGAATTGACCCTTGACCGCAGTCCGGGTTCGCACGTTTTTCACTCCGTTAATGACGACCACAACACACTGGTAGGTTTATAAATTATATTTCGAAATCCAGACCAACTGTAATCAAACCTATCTAGATAGCTTATTTTTTATAACGCCAATTTCCTGAACCCGAGGACAGCGCTCCGCTAAAATAAATTACGGCCAAAGATAGTGTTAGCTTATAACAACAAACATTAGCTTCACACTGATAGCTAGCGAAAGTTAGCCAGATAATGCTAGCAGTGTGATGCTGATGTGAGAGGTCGCTTTATTAAAATGATTACGTAAAGTTACATAAGACTAATAGCAGGAAAATTGAAAACATTAGTACATAACACGTGTACCTTTGAGTCACTTAAGTAATGGTACTTTAAATATTACAGCCTTAGTTGCTTTCTGTCACTGCTAGCTAAATTGCGATATTGAAATGCGTTAACTTGTTGCACAACTGGTAACTGCTTAGTTAGCTTACTTTCTTATGTACCCCCTCTTATTAATACGTCCTCAAGTGTCTTTATTTTAATTTAACCAGTGTGCCAACCATGGCCATTTACACATGCCTAATACACGTGTTTCAGTGGCACTTGGTATTTCAATATAGAGCTATCCCCACATTGTGGCCTCAACTGACAGCAAAGCTAAATTAAAACCTGCATATCCAGCCATTGACCTCAACATTTTATAATAATTATAAATAACATTACCGATGTTTCTCTTTAATCAATTATTATTTTTTAACATTCGACCACTAAAACCACAATTTTCCGTTGCCACAAGGGGGAGCTTTTGACCCATAGTTTCTATGTGTTTTACCAACTCGAATACTTATCCTACTGAAAACATGCCACTCTTGTCTGTGTAACTATGGTTGTAATGATTCATTCCCAACAGATGTCCACTGTTTTCCTCAAATTATACCTTTTCTTTTGCTAATACTGCCTCATAATTACTTAAATGATTCCTCATCTTACTTCATCTGCCCTCAAACGTTATCTTCCCTACTCACCATCTTTCTTCTCTTTTTGTGCACCAAATAATCTATTCCTCCTTTGCATCCATCATTTTCCTCCTTTTTCTCTTCACCCAGGATCTGGGAGCAAAGACAGACTCTGTTTGGACTGCTGATACTGCTTATCCTCCTCCTCATTGCCTACAGTGTTGAAGGAACACACCAGAAGGTGACTAAATAATGAAAAATGTTAGGCTGACATGAATCATACATTCTAGCTTTTTAACGGGAGGCTATAGTGAAACAAATGTTATTTATGTTGTGGTTACAGTTTGCTACCTTTTTCACCACCTTTATAGTGAATTTAATACACACACAGTATAAGGGGCGCCTGTACCTACGAGATTGGAGCGGGTGACTATCGATTGAAGGGTTAGTTGTATGATTCCTCCTTACCTTGTTAAAGTTTCCTTTAACTACCATCATGCAGAACTAATGCTTTAATGCAGTTATTTAGTATTTCTTAGGTTGCGCACAGTGACAGATTAAGTCAGATTAGAATGCACATCATTTTTGATTGTAATATTGGGATTTGTTTCGCAGAATAAACATCATCTCTAGCAACTGTATGCCTGTCTGCACACATCAACTTAGTTTAATTATTAACTTCTCATAAAGCACAGTGGTAGCTGCTAATCTCTTATGTCTGGGGCAAATTAATGGAGGTGTGACCTTGAACAGACTCTGAACCCTTTCCCTTTTTTCCCACTTTTTTGGTTCTTTCCTGCAGTGCTCTCGACTAACTTTTTTCACCATCCTCCCGGAACCGTCCCGAAATACAATCTAAGCCGTCCCGAAATTAATGTGGACCGTCCCGAATTTAAAATATGAGTTTTTCTACTACTTATCATTAGTTAAAATCATTCAAAGTGACCTTTAACATAAATAAAACATCATAAAAATCATTAGATGATAATTCATCAACCTTTTTATTTGAATTTATGTTAAAGGTCACTTTGAATGATTTTAACTAATGATAAGTAGTAGNTTGGGTCGCGACCCACCAGTTGAGAGCCACTGCTCTGCTCATATGACAACACTAGAGTCACATGTTATGTCATGTGACAAAGTACTACAAAGTAGTGAGGACATAGTAGTGAGGACCTTGAAAGTAAGTACACCTTACAAAGAGGTAGCAATACCTAACAAGCTGGAGAGGTAATGCTATTATAACAACTGGAGAAGAGTTAAATATACATGTTACTAGTTTAATGGTTGACTATTCCCAGTGAGAAAAAAATGATATTCTGCTATAGTGAATACAATATTGAAACTGGGTATCAATGTTATGTACAACATGTTATACACATTTGTGTATGATAGTGTACAATGATACACATCTTCAATAAGTCAGCAATTATGTTTACGGTTTATGGGATTTTCATCTCAAAACCACTGGCACTCTCTACTGACTGTTGATAGCAATGAAATAGGTCGTATACTAGGGGTGTTGAAATGAATAGTTTCTACGATGCATCGTGATGCGGACGTGGACGATTCTGCATCGATGCAGGAACAGCACATAATCGATTAAAGCATAGTAACGTTGCTTCCTGATCTTCCGATTCTGCAGAATCCTCTTGCTATTTCCAGACGATAAATACGTGTATAAAGTTTGTGAAGGCAGGAGGAAAGCTTCCGCGATCACCGTCTCCTCTGTTCCTCCAAACCCCGCCTCTCCCTGAAAATAATGAGTGACAGGCTGATAGTAACCTGATAGAAACTTTATTATTCACTTAATCACTGATTGATATATGATGAAGCCAACTTAATCTCCTACAATCATGGGATTTATGTAACAGTACGACAGAGAATGTAAGTGTGCACCCACATGCACTATTTTTGTTTTTATATGCTGTTGTAAATACTCCTGTCAAGTCATGTTTGTGATGCCACATTCAGGACATTCAGTGTCCTTTTTTGAGTAGGAGCTGCAGCTAGACTGCAGAAGCATTAGTTTTTTGTTTTTGAGGATGGAACAATTTCACACACAGATATAGGGAGGCTAGCCCTATACAATTGATTTATTATGGTTTATAATTTAATGTTGCCGTTACTTTTGTGCAAGTCAAGTAATTGTTGAATGATTGTTTTAGCTTTGCTCTTTACTTTGAGGTAGATTTCCAAAGTGAAACTACAATGAAAGTTTTTCACCAAATTGTAAACGGGATAAGAAGCTGTGCAATAAAAGTTTATTGTGGCACTTCTCCACTAAGCTTGTATATACCTCTGGTGGTGCAGTTGTATACTGTTTACAGAGAAACTGTGGTGGTGTTCTTTCCAAATGTTGACATGGAATCAAATCAAAGTCCAAATCTGGATTTCATTTAAGGCCTATTATTAAGTTTTATAGACAGGAAGAAAAACAGTGTTAGTCTTGTAAGTTAGTGGTGCTCTCGTATCGAGTGTTCTGATATTGTTTGACCCAGTTACAACAACTGTCCCATTTCCTCCAAATAGAACTACATGTCTGCTGGTACTTGACACCGTTCATCACACGCTCCACAGATAATCTTAAAAATAATCACCCAAAAAATAATACATATCTGTCAGAACCATCAGCTCTACAAAATGACTCTTAATCGTTTAAGCTTCTACAGAAAAAAAGATGTATTATAAGAGTTCTCTGAGGTCATGTGTGTTTCCTGTTTGTGGTTTAACCTCAGACTTGAAGAGAGGAATCAGATACTACATCAGGCAGGGAACTTGATATAACTGCTACAGCATTGGTTGCTGATAAAAAGGCCAATGTTGGGCTACACTTTTTTTCTAAAGAATTAATGTCAGCCAATTAAAGACATTAATATGCAAAGTACAAACCTCGCTGACCACATACTTATAAATATCTAATCATTTTGGATTGTTGTACACAGGTAAATACTGGTTCCTTCTATTAATGCCTGTAGGGTTTCCATTTGTAGAGCAATTTCATGGTGAAGTTAGTAGGCATTTCAGCCCACAACGGGAACATATGGTGGGAAACACAGAATGCTTATAAGTGTGATTATTCATATATATTATTTTAAACAGCTCCATTTGAATATCTACCTAGGAACATCATTTATAAACAGATAACATCTAAAGATAACTGATTTTGTACCAGTATCGACCTTTAAAAAAAAGATATCAGTGAAACTCTATAAAATATGCACAACAGCAGCTCCAGCAAGGAGCACCAAGTTCTGTCATGAACCCAGTGACACCACAACCTGCAGTAGCACCCTCGCTCACTAGAGGGTGACATTGTACATCAAATCCTTCTGAGAAAGTGAACTGGGCCAGGGAGAGTAGCAAAAAACTCTCAAATTACATTTTGGAGCGCCAGAATTTGGCTTTTAAAAACAGCAGTGTGGAGGACACGCACTTCAATGTTTCCAGTTCAGCTCCACAGGGCGAGGGTATAAAAGTGTGACAGTGGACTCTCTGATGACAGATGGACAGAGAGGGCAAGCAGATGTTCTGGGACCCATATCTGTTCATCACTAGAGACCCAACACCTCCCCTCTCTAGAAACGGAGCAAAAACACTCAGAGGCAGATAGAGTTGGGGGGTAACAACAGAAGAGAGAGGAAAGGGGGGAGTAAAAGGGGGTTCTAAGCAAAGGAGAGACATAGAAAAAGGAGTACAAGTAACATGAGGGAGTGTAAGAGAGGGTGAGAGTGAGCCACGCAGTGGGGAGCAGAAAGAACCCAGAGAAGGGGAGGGAGTGTGTTCCTATCCCCGTGTGCACTCAGTCAGAGGGGTCAGTGAGTGCGATTGTTCCTAGACTGCCTGTCAAAACAGTGCGACTACCACAGCGTCTATTCATCTCCACCCCACTTTGAAAAGCATGCGCTCACAAACCCATACGAACTCCCGTATGCATGTGCAAATGCATAAGGAGCCTCCAAAAGCTTTTAATAATGCTCTTGCTAAAGCCTTAGCAACAACCTAACAACAGCATCAACACACAAGTCTTTTCAGAACTGCGTCACTGCACCAACACCATCAGCGACTGTGTTTGTGTTCAGCTCTGCCATAAACATGCACAGGCAAGTGAACAACTGCACTGTGAAAGTGGCATACAACTTGTTGTGGAGTCAGAGGAAAAAAAAATGTCTTACCAGGTAGAGAAGGAAGGTGTGAAGGCCGGTGCCAAGACCAACCGAGGAGAGGATGCCCAAGCCGACCCAGTAGGCGCACCACAGCGTCTTCTTCTCCATGTAGAGCACATACTGCAGAGGCCAGAAAGAGGGACGGTCAACCACATGGCAGAGACACATGCACAGAGTGAGGAAAACAAGAAGGAGGGGGGGCACAGAGAGAAGGGAAGAGAAGAGACAGAGTGAAAGAAGTTAAGAAAGTGAAAGTGTGCAAAACAGAGGGCACTTAAAAGGGTGGGTGAGGGCAAGTGAGTGGTAGAGAAAGAGAGGGAGAGAGTGAGAGAGACCTTTCGAGACAAAGGTTGTTGAGTTTAGAGGACACAGCCGAAGGGTAGGAGTGTTCAGCACACTGACAGAAGAACAGAACCATTATTCTTATTGGTGGCAGACAGCTCTTACACAACTATAATGTAAGGCAAGCCAAGATTCAGTCTATCACCATGTTTCTCTTTTTCCTGTTGATCAACAACTATCACTCAATCCATCACTCCGTTTACACCTCCTCCCTTGAGCGTAGGCAGGTCATTTTCAGGAGGAAGCACAGAGTGAGTAGATTACGGGAAGAAGTGAGGGGGTGGAGGGGATCGGGGGGTGTGGGAGGCTCTGACCGAAGACTGCATTTCCCAGGAAACCCAGCAAAACAAAAACATCACATACTGCATGTCTCCCCTTGCTGGAAAGTGCAGTGCCGGCCTTGGGCGATTGTTACGTGAAGTTATTGAGAAGTGATTGCGCAACTTCCGAGTATCTGTGTAAAACTGTGAAAAAAAACGTTTTATGGAAGTGGGTTTCAAAATACTTCAGCACATGTCAGGAAAGCAGGGCTCGAGCTTAAGGACGTCCCGTCGTCCCGGGGCCGAAAAAAATAGTGTCAGGGAGGATAAAAAATAATTTTGGGACGAATTTGGGACGAGAGTTAAAATAAAAATACCCTGCTAACTCTACTACAANGGATCCTCTCTTTTCCTCTCTCCCTCTCTCTCTCTCATGACAGCCCCTCTGTTTCTCATGCAGCGGGCTAAACAGTGGGCGGGGCTTC